CACAAAGGTTTTAAATGCAGTAAATGGTATTTTCTTTACTGCAGCAGCGGGTGGGGGAGTAGGAGCTGTCTGTGTAATAGGCTGTTTAGCTCTTATCAGCTCAATTTCGTAACCCCTCTTTTCTCGAATCTCCGCTCTTGCTTCCAGGAACAGTCGTTCAATTAGTTCCACGGAAGTTGCTGGGTACATGGATAACCTCCGCTATACCATGCTGGTAATCTCATCCTCCTCGCTGACAGGGGCCTGTTGTTCAGCAACCTCAATAGATCTATCCATTTCTTCCAGCTCCAGTAGGTCAGCTATCAGCTCTCTCCGTGGTCGGTTACTGGCACTCCTTCCCCTAGTTTCCAACAGATCTTTCAGTGTGGGTCTCTTCAATCTAGCGTACTGGGACTCCATTCAGCACTTGCTCTGTGGATGAAAAGGACCATCCCACCGCTGCCACCAATGTAATGGCTACCCAGGTAGTAAGGAGGTATCAGCCGTATGGTACAATAAATCCCCTTCCAAGAACGAGACGAGGCTACGTTTTGAAGGGTCAAGCAGAACTGAGGTTTATTGACAGGGGTCTCCTTTTATGCAATGCTGCCCTGGAAAGAGCTACACCTACATAATTAACACAATAACCAATCACCAACATGGTACAACCCACACGTCTCCTCCCCTCAGATAAACATTTAACATAATTAAAACACACACAATTTTACCCAAGTTCTGGATGTACCCCAAAACCAGGAGGCACACCCTTAAATCCAGTATCCCCAGATAGCTCTTGCTCAGGAGAACAACATATTAAAAATCCAGCCCATTCGGGTAAAGCGTTCGGGAGTTATGGGTCTTTGAAGTTTGGCCTTGCGGTCGGTCTCCATTCGTGCATTAAAACCCCACGAAAATCTTGCCATCCACAGTTATCATGACGTTCGCCAGAATCCCCATGCATAGTTTAATCTTTCTACCGAACGGCGGGCCGTTCAGTAGTTTCGGCACGAATCCACGTTGTTATGGAGGTCTCAGCGGTGTTCGCCTGTTTGCGTATCCGTTTTTAGTTCCACACGATTGATGGCAAAACACCGCTGTTCGTGCGTAAGATAGCCGCGAACACGTGCAAAGTCCCAAAATGGCGGCCACCTATACTTTACACAAAGGATTCGTGCTGAACCATGCGAACGGCTGTGCTGCACTGGGAGGTAAAGTATCACTTAACTTTTACTTCAGGGTGGTCCGGTGTTCGGATTCGTTTTTCTTGGGCAATGGTGGTTCGCATAAACAGGCAAGTCAGTTTATTTGTACATCCATGGTATGTAATTGTTAAAGAAGTCCAGGCAGAAATTGTAATCCTGTTACACCCATCTTTGGCAAGTCCTACTCTTACAACTAATTGAGTGTGTTGATAAAACACAAACTAAAAACAAGAATATTGTGATATTAAAAGATGATCTTGTATGATCATAACACATAATATTTCTATCAGTAGCCATTAATGCATTCTCAAGAATGAGTAAGTATTTCATACCAATTATACACCCAGGTCCAAAAACCGCATTCTGAAACTTCCTAGTAAAAAATAAGCTGTCTTATGTACTGTACATGTCTGTTACATAATTCAACGAGGTGTGTACAAAATGCATATTTATGTCATTACTGAACCTGTATATGTTTGAGTCAGTGATGAATCAGATCCATTGTTACCTAAAAAAATACCAGTATTCACAGTAGATGCAAATCCTTCTTCAGGTATAGTAGTCTGAGCTGCCAGTTTCTTTTTGAAGCCGGCAATTAAGTTATGTTACATAATTGTATGCACAGTAATCTATACTTTAAGTAATTATGCAAATTTGTTTTTGGATTCTTTTTTTTCAGGTGATTTTCAGCAGATGTGTCTTTGAGTCAAATAATGTCAGACTAGATTCAGTTACAACAACAATTTAATCTAAACACATTTCCTTTTGAGATCTCAGTTAGGTACTGTTCAAGTTTTATATTTGTTTTTTTGGCTAGAACTAAGTATACACTAACATTCTCATCTATCCGCAAACTTGGATAAGACTGCTGATGATTCTGCTTGGCTAAATCATAGTGTACTCAGTATTATTATAATTATTGGCATTTGTATAGCACTGATGCAAGCCCCACCCATACCCCGCCTTCAGCCATACCCTACACTATGGGTCGTCAACCTGGTCCCTACCACCCACTAGTGGGCGTTTTAGGATTCCAGGTGGGCGGGAGGGATTTTGGAGGCTAAATCCTCTTTTTAAGAGGATTTCTCCTTTTGGGCGGGCGCGAGCGGCTCTGCATGCGCAAGTCTTTAGTGACCGGCAGGAGGAAGCACTCCCTCCTGCCAGGCCACCTTCTGGACCCCCCGGCATGGCAGAGTTCTAATCAGTCGCGGCGAGGGAGCTCTAACCTCTCTGCTCTGCACCCTCGCGCGATGTTTGCTGATGCCGCGGGAGCCGGAATATGACGTCATATTCCGGCTCCCAGCATCAGTAGACAGTCCGCGAGGGAGCAGAGCAGAGAGGTTAGAGCTCACTCACTGCGTCTGATTAGCCGCCCGCCTAAGTGAAACCCAACTGGACCCCAGGGACAGATCCACACCGGCTCTCCAGGTAGGGAGGCTGGGTGGATATTTAATATTAATAATTTGTGTGTGTATGTGTTTGTCTCTAAGTGTATGTGTGTGTGTCTGTAAGTGTATGTGTGTGTGTGTGTGTGTGTGTGTGTGTGTCTGTAAGTGTATGTGTGTCTGTGTCTGTGTGTGTGTGTCTGTGTCTGTAAGTATATGTGTGTGTGTGTGTCTGTAAGTATATGTGTGTGTGTGTCTGTAAGTGTGTGTGTGTCTGTAGGTCTGTCTGTGTATGTGTGAGTGTCTGTAAGTGCATGTGTGAGTATGTGTATATTTGTGTGTATGTGTTTCTATGTGAGTGTGTGTGTGTCTGTAAGTGTATGTGTGAGTGTTTGTCTGTGAGTGTGTGTGTCTGTAAATGTATGTGTGAGTGTGTGTGTGTGTGTATGTGTTTGTCTGTGAGCAGAGTACTTGTAGAATAGAAGAAAGAAGGTGCAAAGTACTTGTAGAATAGGAGAAAGAAGGAGTAGAGTACTTCTAGTATAGGGGAAAGAAGGAGTAGAGTACTTGTAATAAAGGAGAAGGAAAGAAAAGGAAAGGGAGAGAATTGTTGTTGACTAATAATAGTAAAACACCCTCCTTTCTAAAAAATATTCTGCGCTTGCGCGAAAACTGGTGGGCGGTAAGGAAATTTTTCCATCAAGAAAGATGCATTAGTGGGCGGTAAGTGGAAAAAGGTTGACTACCACTGCCTTACATAATCTTTAGACACAAGGAACAAAAGTGCAATAAGTTCTAAACAAGTGCAATATAATTAACGAATGCAAAAACCAAACTGTGCAAAATAAATAACAATAATCCCCTCGAGGCCCCAGTAGAGACTACAATTGAGGGCTAATGGCCCATGGATTGGGGTCTTTCTAGCAGAGGGTATCTCAGCATCCATTAGAGAGACTCTGTTAGAAACAGTCGCCTCCAGGCCCCGGTAGAGACTACAATTGAGGGCTAATGTCCTTGGAGTCTTTCTAGCAGAGGCTATCTCAGTGTTAGAAAGAATCCCCTCCAGGCCCCATTAGATACTACAATAGAGTCTAATGGGGCCTAGAGGGGGGTCTCTCCAACACACTGGTTCCTATTCACAATCTAGCAACACAACATAGCTCACTGATATTTAGGCCAAGTTGGCTCCTCTTACCTTAATTACGGTTGGTGGCTTGCAGTCTGTTGGCTTGCTGGCTACGGCCGGCAGGCTGTGGGCTGGCTGGCTACGGCCGGCAGGCTGTGGGCTGGCTGGCAGGCTGTGGGCTTGCCGGCTGGCTGGCTACAGCCAGCAGGATGTGGGTTTGCTGGCTGTGGCTTGCTGGCTGGCTGTGGGCTTGCTGGCTATGGCTTTCAGGCTGTGAACTTGCTAGCTACGACTGGCAGGCTGTGGGCTTGCTGGCTGTAGGCCTGTGGCTTGCTGGCAGGCTGTGGGCTTCCTGGCAGGCTGTGGGCTTGCTGGCTGTAGGCCTGTGGCTGGATGGCTGTAGGCCTGTGGGCTGTGGCTGGCTGTAGGCCTGTGGGCCGTGGCTGGTGGCTTGTGGAACGTGGCTGGCAACTGGCTTCTGGGCAGTGGCTGGCTACTGGCCTGTGGGCTGTGGCTGGCTACTGGCCTGCATCTGGCTGATGATCAGGTTGTTGATTGTGGCCTGTAGAATGTTGGTCCACTCCTCTTCAATGGCTGTGTGAAGTTGCTGAATATTGGCAAGACCTGGAACACGCTGTTGTATACGCCGATCCAGAGCATCCCAAACATGCTCAATGGATGACATGTCCGGTGAGTATGCTGGCCATGCAAGAACTGGGATGTTTTCAGTTTCCAGGAATTGTGTTGAGATCCTTGCAACATGGGGCCGTGTATTATCATGCTGCAGCATGAGGTGATGGTCGTGGATGAATGACAATGGGCCTCAGGAACTTGTCAAAATGCCATCAATAAAATGCACCTGTGTTCGTTGTCAATAACATACGCCTGCCCATACCATAACCCCACCGCCACCATGGGCCACTTGATCCACAACGTTGTCATCCGCAAACCGCTCACTCACACGACACCATACACACTGACTGCCATCTGCCCTGTACAGTAAAAAACGGGATTCATCCGTTAAGAGAGCACCTCTTGTGAGGATATTTATGGGGTGATAAATATTAAAAATAATATTTTCATACAAATTATCAAAAATGTATTTAATATTTTTTATTATATCAAAAATTTATATCTTGGCACTGTTCCCCGATTAATGATCTAAAGCTGAAAATTACCCACTATTTTAATTCTCTTAGATCCTAGAGGAAGTTTCACTAGAAGATTTAACTTCACACAGTAATTACAAATTAATTATAAAAATATAATTTATTGTGACAACAATAATAAAAATAATATATGTAACATGCATGACAATAATCAGTGAATATTTAGGACTAACATAAGTATACAATATTGACAGCTAAAAGCAACAGTTATATGCACAGTTGTAAACAAGATTTATGATGAGACACTTCACTTAGAAACCAAATTCACAGAGAAGACAGAGCTTCACAGAACACAGCAGCACAGCGTAAAGCAATAAAAACTTTGGCTGACAGTCAAATAAAACTGAATTAACTCTTTCACTGCTAGCTACAATCGTCATAGGCAAGATATCGTATTATATTGCAATTTTTATAACTACAATATTCTCATATCACGTCATTTACCATTCCTAAGTCCATCCCATAAGAATAATTCTAACTAGATTTTACATTTGCCGAATTTTTACTTTCCTAAATAAGATTCACTATCTTATATCAGAACAAGTCAATATCTCTGGATAAAAATTTGGTATGCTAACATTTGACAAATTTACTGTTAATATAGCGTTATCTTTATTCCACCTGCAGGAATGGAATTTTTATAACCATATATTCCTTAGCTAATTATGATTTCTAATAATTGAAATCTGACCAAGATTTATCTATATATATATACACACACACTACATTCCTTGTCAGCAAACACATACAACATTCTCTAAACACACCCTCTCTGCAACCCCTACACACACTACGTCACCAATACACACACACTTCAGCCCGTATGCACACACTCGCTGCATCCCCTATAAAACTATGCCCCCTATACACACACTCTCTACAGCCCCTAGCCACACATATTACACCACAAACACAAATTAAATTGACCTATTTACACAATACCACATCACACTCTACACACACGCAATCCCACAAGCAGGCTCCAAACATATGCACCATGCACTTTCCTGGCCCTTTTGTCCTCTGGTATCCCACTTGTGGAGACACCAGAGACAATTTAAAAGCAAACACAGCGCAAGCATGTTATTAAATTTGCTTGCGCTGCGCAGAACAAATTCAGGGCCTTTTTCTGATGCCAGAGCTCTTCAGCAGGGCTCTGGGCATTGAACCAACATGCTCACTTTGAGAGGGGGCGTGCTTGTCATTAGTAATGACAAAACACACACTCTGGCCCCGCCCCCTTCTTAGGGGGCTGCTCTGATTGAAAAATGCCCGGGCCTAATTTTTTTCCCAGTCCGGCCCTGGTGCTGTGTGTGATGGTTGTGAGAGAGTGCTGTGTGTGAGAGAATGCTGGGTGTGAGAGAGTGCTGTGTGTGCTGGGTGAGAGAGTGCCGGGTGTGAGAGAGCTGTGTGTGATGGGTGTGAGAGAGTGCTGTGTGTGAGAGTGCTGTGTGAGAGAGTGCTGTGTGTGATGGGTGAGAGAGTGCTGTGTGAGAGAGTGTTGTGTGTGATGGGTGTGAGAGAGTGCTGGGTGTGAGAGAGTGCTGGGTGTGATGGGTGTGAGAGAGTGCTGGGTGTGAGAGAGTGCTGGGTGTGATGGGTGTGAGAGAGTGCTGGGTGTGAGAGAGTGCTGTATAAATGTTAGAATGGATTGTGTGTGTGTAGGGGGGGTAAATAAACAAATAAACTAAGCCGGCATTATGTTTCCCCCTCCCTTCTTACCTTTAGCCTGGGAGGGGGGGGACCGGCACACTGGTGACTGGGAGGTGGGGTGGCATTGTTCCCTGGTGGTCCTCGTGGTGAGTGAACTCTAGCCCGCATAGCCTGTAGGGTTATAAGTGGATAGTGTGTGTATATATATATAACATTCAACCCCCTTTTTGCTTTAGACATCATGCCTTATCTCTTGTCTTGTTTACATAAATTGCATTCCTTAGCTCAGACATGAATGGAGTGATAGAGAGAGAGAAATCTTGTGTCTCTCTTAGCCTTGTAATACAAAATGGAGTCCCCTCTGCTCTGACTATACACTTTTAATTTCTGTCTTAACACAAAATGTCTGCCAGTATAAATATACTGACATAACCCCCCTTAGTGATTAACATAGCAATGGTTAATTTAGTCTATGAACAAGCCCTACAGAAGTTACAAGACATATTATGCATTCTTATCACTTCTTCTGGCGTTAGGCCTGTGCGTAGGTAATGGATGTTTTTGAATATCGTTGTACCTGTAAGAGCTTTGCACCTTACACTTAGTACAATCAACCCTAACACCATTATTATCATTGTCAATTGCTTCCATTTGGAAAATTGTTTTTGGGAGTAACATACAGTATGGCCAATAAAAAGCAAATCTCCATGCGTTCCGGGTCAATTAAGAGAGGTATAGAACTCCCCATATCAAAGGCCAGATTTAATTCCATAGGCTCAATTGTCTCTACACTTGCCAACTACACTGGCAAGCATTGCATGAACAATATCCTTGGATACAAAACACAGAGGTATGCGTCCGCCTGCCAATTCAATCATTCCGGTTTGCACTTCGTCAAGAAAAGCAAGTGTGTGGAACAATATTGGGTCATGCAGAAAGGGAAGTTCATGCTTAAATATGTCATGAATTTGGTGCAACTCAGTGGACTTTTAACTCTAAATGCAAATTTGTTGTAACAACTGTGTCTTCCACAATAGTTAACACGTCCTGGATAAGTGTTCTTTGCAGTTTTATTACCCGATGAGTATCGTTAATGTGTTGCTTTAGCGCAAAAATTTCCATATCCAGTTTTTGGACAGTAATAGAGTTGGCTGCAGACCTTCCAGTTGTGACAACTGCACCGACAGTGGCACAAACTAATGCAACGATTATAGCAGTGAGGAACCTTTTGGGTCGGTTGCTCATCGGAATAGTACTGGATACAAAAGGTTTACGGGCTTGCTCCAAGATGTTTCGCACACGGTCCTGTGCTCTTTGGAGGTGCATCTGGTACCAGGTTTGTAACTCAGGAAGCTGCATCGATGAAATGTTGTACACCTTCTTAATGGAAATCTTTGGGTCCAAGCTGAGGAACACACATTGGTTCAGTATCCTCTTCTCTGTCAAGATGAACCCTGGTGTCTCCTGAATCAGGATGCCGGAGGATGGTCCCATCTCTGCGATCGGATTGATCCGTAGCTCTTGGCACAGGAGCAGTATGATCCAGAAACACGTCACATCCTTCTTGGACATCTTTCGTTAGTCACAGATCAGGAACTCGTCTCAGACTTATCTATTAATGATTCAAGGGTTGTTAAGTATACAATCTTATAACAGTGTTACATCACTTGGCCTAGGACAACACATTATTTACTATTCATCA